TCCACCTCGTCTTCTCTTCCAACGTTTTGAGTCCCACTTTGTTCACCTCCGAAATTCGGTGGAGGAACGTAAGGGACCATTTGAGCGTACGGGTAATTGACAAAGTCAAAATACCCGTGAAGTTCACGGCTCAAGGTATTGACGTTGTGCGCCGTTTTGGAGACGTTGGTGTCAATCCGAGAGAGAGTGGCGGTTAAGGCTGCCATTTGCTCGGCGAGAGAAGGATTGGTCGATGTGGTGGCGGCTGAGGCAGTGGCTCTCGGTTGGCGGCGTGGACGAGGCTGTCGAAACGGAGTCTCGTCGGTGCCCGAGTGGAAAGAAGACTCATCAATCTCCCAGTGCTTTGTCCCCTTTACCTTTGGCCCAACATCGGTTTTGATGTTGTATTCTTCAAGAATTGCCATGACAAGGAGGGCATAGGGGAGCGGCCGATTGTCGGAGGTGGCCGTGAACATGTGAGTCATCACAAATTTACACCAATTGAGATTGGCGTTGTGAATCATCGCATGGATCGTCTTCGTGTCTTCTTGGGAGAGATTGGTGTGGTTGAACTTCCTGGGCTTGAGGATCCGTGTCAACACGTAGAAGATGAAACGATACACGGGACTCATGGAAGAAATCGTAGGGCGCCGCTGTTGGGGAGTGGGTACGAAGTGACGGATGCCCACTTCCTCCAAGAGAGCGGTCTCATTGAACCGCGCCCCCTCTTCCCCGGTGTAGAGCCCGAGATCCTGTCCGTCCCGACGAAGCCCGGTGAGGATTTGAATGTTCTCTTCATTCAAATAAATGTCCACCCCGTTGACGTTTGAAATCAATGATCCGTCCTCATCCTTTTTCAGGTTCGAATAGAAAGCTCGAACAAGAAAAGGTTGATAATTGACCTTCTTGATGTAGAGGAGATCAAGGAAGTTTCCACGTTCAAGGATAACCCGTGCTTCGCGTGGAATGGAGTCATGAATGAAGCGGGCGGTGGAGAATCGGGGAGGGAGAATTTCCCGATGCTCAAACTTCTCTGAGAACCTTGTAGTCTCTTCGCGGTCGTTGAACCAAAGAAACGACCCGTCAAGGCACTTGTGCGCCGGTGGTGGAGGAGCCGAGGAGGAGGCAACGTTCTTGCCAGTGCGGGAACGCTTTCTTTGACCGCCTGCCATTGCAACAAGAGAGGAGAGAGAGATTGCAGAAATTTTTGAAGAGAAAAATGAAGAATAGGAGCAAGAATGATGAATTATGATGAATATATGGAGAAGAGTTGATTGGAATGAGTAAAAATGAAGTAGATGTCACCAATATATAGTGTAGGAGGTGTAGAGATCCGTTGGGATGGTCAAACAAGGCATTAACTGCTCTCCAACGTCTCTGCAACGGTCAGATTTTTGAAAAATCTCCGTTGATAATCAATTATCATGACCTGTCAATCGATTATCAGATGCCTCAGATTTTCCGCTGATGGTCCTGCAGTCTTCAATATACGATTGCCATGTTTGGTAAATCGATTGTTGGAGTTTGCGCCTGAGTTGCCTTAAACTTTTGTAGGCTTAAATAATCGATTATCTTATAGTGGATAATCGATTGTTGCTGGTTTGCGCCTGACTTTTTGAGAAAGTTCTACAGCCCCTAATAATCGATTATCTTAATGTTGATAATCGATTGTTGGCTCCTTCAGTTTCTTTGCTCCAACTCCTGCGGGTTGTGATAGTCGATTATCACAAGCCTGTAAATCGATTTACACTCAGTCCTGGGAACTAGAAATTGATTTCTTTTGTTCCCCCTGGCTTTAACACCTACAATGAAAACATTTTGGTACCCGTTTGATCTTTTGGGTCCTTGAGGATTAGTAACACGACTTTTTAAACTAATAAACACACGCACCAATAATCACATGCACATGGTACGCAAACACACACACACACACACACATGTACCAACATGTGTGTTTAAGTGTTACCTTGGCCAACTCATCCTTTTGCGGTTGGCGGGTTCGAGTCTACTCGAACTGAATGTCTGTACCTCGGTTTGACTTGTGTGGGCTCCGGAAGTGGTATGTGCATCTTCTTCTTTTCATCATAATAGAAGAAGTAATATGGTTTCTTTTGCGTTGATTCCTGCAGGGATTGGTTAGAGTTCGAATATCCTTTTTGAAAGGATTTCATTCGGTTAGTTCCATGCAGAGTGTGTGTTTTGTTATACGTGTAATGCCTATGCCTACTAAAACACACGGGTGCTATATGACCTACCCTATTGCAATAATGACAAA